TTGTTTTTTGTTATTTTTTTCAGAAATGCATGCAAACACGAAAAGACTGTCAGCGTTAGTTGTCCCTAATTTTGATCTAACTACTGTCTTGACGTGTTCTTTCGCGGATTATTTTAAATACTTGATGAATATAATGCTAAATACAGTCAATGTTACGATAATAAATTAGTTTTTTTGTTTTTTTTTTCATATCACTTCAGGCTACTTCACTTGTACACTATTGTAATTTGTAGGCCTAAGTTACAAATGGCGTTTCAACAGAAATGCCTCGCTAATGGTACTATGACTAAAATACAAATAAATTTACTTGCACAATTTCACGGCCAATCGATCGAGTAACTAAATTTATGTAATAACTAACACTGATTCAATTACTTCACTGAATAACTGACACTCTACCAACTAAAGACTGATTAAATGCTTCACTGATTCCCGTATTTCTAAACACCTTACAAAATCTTTCGATCACGAATATTTCCGAATATTCTTGATATTATCAGACTACTTTTGTAGACTTACTAGCTAACATGTAATTAAAACGTTAAGAATAGTGTTACGCCAGTCCAATTATAATAACGACTTATAGTCAGTGTTTTGATTTGGATAATTGGTTTATTAGTAGGTTGTACAAAATATTTCTCTTCCCATATAATACTAGTTCAAGGTCTAACTTTGCAGTTTTAAACTACACAATCAAGTTTTTCTCTGATAGTGCTACCGGACTCAGGCCTAATTGGCCAAGTTTTAGGCTACACAATCAAGTTGTTTCTCAAATAGTGCTACCAGACTTAGGCCTAACTACCCAAGTTTTAGGATACAGAATCAAGTTTTTCTCCATTAGTGCTACCACTCATGCCTAACTACCCAATTTTTAGGCTACATAATCAAATTGTTTTTCTGATACCGTATTCACAGTTTCTTTCAAATCTTTAATATTTTGTTTGCAATTAAGTCTTATGAAGGGCGGTAGCTGGAAATGTCGTCTATCAATAAATTATTTTGGTAATTTATAAACTCTTCATGTTTTTTATATTTACATTAAGCCTTATCGATCTAAGTAACTATTTGAATGAACAAAGAAAATCATCAAAATAAATATATGTAAATGAATATAAAACAGGTTGAAAACATAATTTTTGTATATCAAATCAAACTTTCTGATTAACAATTTTAAACAAATTAGCTTGTTTATAATTTTTGGTAAGGTAAAAAATAAAGTTATTTTCATTGTACACCAGAGATAATAAACACAGTGAAAATGCGTGCAATATTTTTAAAATTAAAAGAAAGATAAAATATATTGTTTCATAAAACAAAACCTTTATAAGAAGGCATAGAATTCAGTAATTAAAATATACGACTAAGATAAGCAATTTTAATTGTTTTTTACTCAGAACACAAGAAAATATTTTCATATTTTTAAAGCTGCAAATTCAAACAAATATCTCATATAAAAATCATATATTATATTTAAAGAATCCGTATAATCTGTAAAAAGCTCATCCGTAGTCTGAAACTATTTCATCCAGTAGTTTTTTAATACAAAAAAAACATGGAACAGGCATGTCAAATTGACACATCCGGACTTCTTAAAGTTAACTAAATACAAAAGAATCCAGAATTCAAGACTTTCTTGACAAAATTATATACATGTTGAAAGCAAAAAAGGATAAAAATACTTTAACTATCATAAAAAATCGAATAATGTCACTAGGAGGACACAGCAAATTGATATTTTAGCAGCCATTGATTCTCACTGCTAATTTAATGATACTTCTAATAATGTACATGCACATTAAAGTTAATTATTCTTCCATTAAGAATGATATTAACAAGATTCCTGTCCACTAAAAGATCACTACAACTCCCGAAAGAATATTTTGATTTCTCTGTTTTGTGCAGTTGGATATAACAAACCAAGAATATAACGTGTTGTAATATTTGCATGTCATAGGACGGCACTAGTGACAGCATTTTATAACTATAAGATACTTTTAAATTTCAGTTATGTCAAGTTATGAATTTTATTTAAAACTTTCCTGCAAATATAGCACATGTTACAAATAAATATTTAATTCAAAATTCAGTGTGTAGATTCAAAAGAGTACTAAATATATACTAAAATAAAGACAATTGCATGTTTCATGAATATTTTATTTTTTACCACTACGGTTTTTCCCGTAAAAGCATCGTTAGGAGTACGAGAAAATCAGAATCTATAAGCGAGAGTGAAGAGCATACAACCGAAAACTACGATAGACTAAATACTACTTTTTGTTTTGTTTTCTGACTGTAGATATTTTGAAGATTCTTTGAGATGTGATTCAGTTTATATTTCTACATAAACCATTATAAGTCTACTAAGAATTCATAATCTCTCCTAGTGTGTTTCATTTTCAGAAAACTTAGAATACTTGAAAATACCCATAAAATGCTGTTTTTCGTTTTAGAGCAAAGCTACACAATGGTCTATATGCGCTCTGTTCATCACGGAGAACTGAACCACAGATTTTAGCATTATAGGTCTGTAAACCCTGCTGACACGCCGTGGAACCCATTAAAAATTGACAGATAGCATTTCAAGAATATAAATAACACGCTGCCAAAGCTAACGTTTGTGTTGATAACGCGCCTAGTAGAAGCACCAGGTATAACGAAATTAGAGAATAGTTTAACATAATAACGTATTAACTATACGAACTATGTTTGATTTCCATATTATCCAAACTAGCAGAAATGCTTGCCCACGGACGGCTGTTTGTGCTACTAATTAGTAATCGTAGTATTCATACCTAATTGTAAGAATCTAAACAAAAAAGTTAACATTTTCTAAAAAAAAAAAAGAGGTATTTTTTTCTGGAGAGTATTGCACGGGAAAAAATGTTCCGATTATGCTTATTTGTCATACGATACAAAAGGACTGAACTGCAAAGTTAAAATAACTTGAAAGTATCTCGTACGTACGAGATATTATGTTGTATTACATTATTGAATGCATGTACATAATAAAGTACACAAATAACAACTTCGTCGTGTTTTGCGTTCGTCACTAAAAAAAATCTATAATTTAGAATAGTAATGTCAATACTTACATGAAATCTTTATATATGGAAATAGTAGGTGTCATACAATGTCGAGTAGTAACGCTAAAGGGAGGCACAGTGTTATTATCTCGTACGTTAAGACTTATTATCTCCAACTTAAGCCCTACTCACCACATCAAGCATTGAGATCATGTTGTAATTATGCACAACAGATGGCACTATTGTATTTATTATTTCGGTCACTTAGATAGATAGCCTCCCTATTGCTTCATTATAGGAAGATTTATTTCATTGTGCCAATTAAATCTAATTTGAATACAAGTTAAATTTCTTATTGAATAATATTTCGATAACTTCGAGAAATGTAGTTCCGTTTAAAAAATTACAAAAACCGTATAAGGATTTACGAAGGTAAATTGGAACTCATCTATAAAACAAACTGAAAGCTCGTATTTCAAAATAAGCTTCTATGTAATAAGGGTTGGTTTTGCTTTCATGTTTACAATCCGAGTTTCAGTGATTTTTACATTAACACGTTAATCAACATTATTTTAATAAGTCTTAAGCACCAGAACTGTTTGGCTTATTTAGAGGGGGGGGGGATTTATTAGTACTGATTCATGCACACCCAACAAGTTATTCTACGAGTTTATTTTATTAGTCACAATAGCAAATATTATAGATTAATACAAGGTAGCCATTAAAATCTCCATTAAGTGTGAATCTCCAGCTTTTATAGTATGCAGACATACTAGGTGTTTTCTACATCCCTTATGTGTTAACTGTAGATTAACATAAAAATTTTCCAAATTATTACACATGTACGTAGTTTAATGTACAACATCAGTCAATAAGGTATCTTTTCCTTTTGCTCTATTCATCTATTATTGTGGATCATTCCCTTATGGTGTCATGCGTGGTTTCTCATAGGAAAGGCTGCTATGAAGTAAAACATATGTATAAACAGACAATGATATTTTCCACTGGTGGGTCAGGTGTTACGTTAAGATTGCTTCCCCTCTTATCTATCAATATGAGTGACTAACAGTGACGTAGGTATAACACGTGCCTTGGAATAATATTATTATAGTTTTTTTGTGTATAAGTACTATGGTTTCTCAGTTTGGAATAACTATTCACAGAATCATAAAAATATCAACTCTACACACTTTTCACTTTTTTTGTGTGTGAAATAAATAAATAGTTTTGAAATATTTTACTTTGTGCTCAATCCCAGTTTTAACTAGTCAAAGACAAGATTTACTCCATTACACTCTTCCTGATTAAACCTCCGACTATCTTTGGGAAAAAAATCAGTGGACTTGAGAATACCAGTTATAAACTTAGCTCAGCTGATGAAAGCTGTCACTGATAAATCCTGTAGTTCTAACCTGTCATGATATAGGGAAGTTATTACTGGTTTAGTTATTATTTTTTTTATACATGACCAATAATCAAAATGTGTTTTGTTACAGTGTGTCTGTGAATGTTTAGTTTTTTAATATTAAACAAAATTTTTACTTTATGGTAATAATGTAAGTTATGTTAGCAAAGTAAAAATAAATTATCTTTATCATCTTTTTTTACAACTAGTTACTAAAAAGCTTATAAAAATGGAAACTTGTATGACTAGTATGTTATCTTCTTAGCGTTATTTAACATTCCAAGCCATTATGTATTGGATCTTGTTGGAAGAATAAACAAGCAAGAAAATTGCTGTTTTTGTGACCTTTTTTCTCCCTCCCTTGATGCAGTAGTAGCTTTGTTGACTTAGTCGTAGGTTGCCTCAAGTAACACAATGTTCTGTCATGGTCTCTCACATAGATATACACCAATATAGATTTTTAGTTCATTAAAGAATTTTCAGCTTTCCAGTTAAATTTATCAGTGGCTTTCTTTACGACTTGGTGAGATGGTTTGTGAAATAATCTACAATATTACATTAAAAAAAAAGTAACAAATAAATTACTCAAATATCAGGTGATCTAAAACTTGCATAATTTACTACGTCAAAGGCATAGACATTTTTTTCCTCATCACTTTGTAAAATGTAGGTGGTACAACTATAAAGTACACACAGAATATTTATGGTCACAATTAGAATAATTTATTTTTTTCAATAGCACAAAAAATGCAGTGCCACAATAAAAAATATAGCTGCAACTTGCTTTAACTGCTGCTCAGCATTCAAAATAGATGTGTAACAAAAGGCCACATACAATACTTAAACAAGATCTTTGGTATGAAGCAAAAAGTCATCACAGTCAAGTCCCGCTAGGCTGCACACACTAAGATAAGCTGAAATGTACACATCAAAACTTCAACAAACATATTATATATACACTGTCACACTAATAATTCTAGAAAGCTCTACTCCTAATAACTTGAGAAATTCTTATTATGCAAAAGCGTGCAAACATTACATGTTAAAAGCAAAAACTAGCTAAAAAAAATTAGATCCTGTACTTGCATCTTGGTTAAGACAAACTAAAGATTAGGCTAATTATAGAACTATTACTACAACATCTGTTAACAAAATGTAAACCAATTACTTGTTAGGGGATCTATCTATTGGATTAAAATTACATTATACAACTACTGCTAAAAAAAGAATCAAAAGTTCATTAGATTATAGGCTTAGATGTCTTACTGCTAGAAACATGTACATGAATGTTCTAGATCTGCCTTTTTGAAAGAAACCTGTAAAGGGCTATGTTATTAGAATTACAATGTTAATCTACTATAGGATTTCAAAAATCTTTCTGAATGTGCTAACTGCAAATAAAGTTTGCACATCACTTCCTAGATTTACCAGACAATGTGAAAATATTAAATTTTGATTAAAAGAAAAGTGTTGAACTATTTATAAATTAATATGAAAATGTTCAAGTAGTAGATAAAATATTTTTAGTTTACACAGAAATGAGAAGTACTTCTAGTTCAATGGCATATTGTTTAAAGTACAGTTTTGGAAAAAAGAAGGAATTCAAATTATATTATATACATCCATCTTGAAGCGAAACCTTAAATTGTAGTTTATAGATTTTTTTGATATGTTGCATTATATATTACATAGTATAAAAATTAATAAAATATATAATTACAATTCAAGGTTTCACTTCAAGTTGGATATGTATAGTAAAGTTTGAGTGCTTTCTTTTCTTCCAAATTGTTCTATATTTTACAGATTTCATTACATCACAGCCTACTTTTTAGTATAAAAACTAGAAAACAACTAAAATACTATTTGTAAATTAGTTCCTTCTAGGATTAACATACTTTTAGATAATCCAATTTAACACCACATAAATGTCATTTTGAAGATGAAAAAAAAAATTAACAAATCTTCATCCTCACCTACAATAACTGACCAGGACTCTCAGTTAGCAGCTGCTGCCAAGGCTAGAACGTTAAATCTCACATTCTCAGGATCTCGCTCTATGAATTTCCTGCACACAGTAGCAGCATCCTATAAAATTAACAGTTTAACTTTTGTTCTTATTAAAATGTAGTCGTTACTTTGGTTACCTCTAACAAAAAAAAATCAATATAAGTATCACACGATCTTACATAACTTGACATTATATATAAAATTTACAGTTAAGATATTTTTCACCACCAAGCTGACTTTAAACTAGTCGAACAAAGGTATAATGTATAAGGACATTTTTGGAGAGAAGATATACATATAACAAATGGACCTTTTACAACCACCTTTACACATTCAAATGTCCTTTTACACAAAATGAACTATATCCTCTATACATCTACTAACAGTCACCACAGGTCAGAAGGCCTAAATTGTTTTTAAAGTTATATCTAATATAGAAACCAATTCACATAAGTACTGGCAGTACGGTTGTGAAACTAATTCACATAAATACTGACAGTACGGTTGTGGTAAATGGATATCAGTCATTAACATGGTTAGTAGTTTATATGATCACTGGGGCCCTTTTATGATACTAATTACTAAGTAGTTGATATTCTGCTGCAATCTTCAGGGAGATCCTGAGAGGGATTATGCTTGTGATGGTAGTGGTTGGGATTTTATCCTGGATCTTGTTCAGAGAATGCTGGGTGTTGCTAATCTATGGCCATCTTCAGAGACAAAGTCTTGAGGAGGTGTTAGTGATTAAGTTTGGATCCTGGAACTTCTACCAAGACCCACGATTAAATCTCGGTAATTACAACGAGAAACAGTCTTCTGAAGATTTCAACAGATTACCAATATAGGATATAAATAAAAAAAAGTTGAGTATTAATATATAATAGTAGAAAATTAACTAATTACTATTTATACTTAGGTGATTGTACAGGCTACTAACCACGACAATGATCTGATGCACATAATTTTTCCCTTGAAAACCAAAAACCTTTCAGTTTTAACTGTATTAAAATCTCCAATTTTTCTCAAGTTAACCATTTATTAACCCATTGACTGCAGCTGCTCTAAATGCACATGGAATTTTTGCAAGCTGTACACCATATACAGCACGCTCACATTGAACTACCAGAGGCTGACCACACCCTATGTAGCGAATCAGCAGTCAATGGGTTAACATACAAATTTAATATACTCCCCCTTGCCTTTATTGCCCATAGTTCATTTGTTTTTATGTTCACTTACTTTTTCAAATATATAAAAGGTCTCAAATCTGGTATATAATTTTGACAGATGGATAGGATACATTTATATTGATTCCTTCGAAGCTTTGTCATTTTGATGTTATCAATAATCATTCAAAACAATCCAGTTACAACTAACAAGTAAAGCTATTAATACTCCAACAAGACCCTAAAAACCATACACTTTCTAAGTTCAGGATAAAAACAACAGTAACTAGAACAGTGAGGAAGTATCACCTTCAACAGGTTCTCTCTCGAAGTTGGGCCGTGATTAATTGGAAAAGACTTGCGACCATCTGTACAAATGTTAAAAATAAAATAGATGAAAATCAGAATTCTTTATTTCTTGGCATTTTTCAAAAACTTTAATAAGAGTCTACTGAAACTAATAACTTCAGGAAATTTCCAAATCCTTCTCTAGTACATAGATCATAATAGCAGTGTGCTATGTATTAAAATAATAATAATTCCATCATTAGCAGCTTGAAACGTAATTTGAACTCTCTTGTTACAAACCCAACTAATTATGACAACTTGGAGCTTAGTCTACTTCTAGAAGTCTGTTAACTGGCTTCAAATAACTTATAAAATATGTCACACCACACTATTAACCAGTTTCATTGATATCAGACTTACATAGGTTTCTATTTTATTTGAAAAAAAAATCCTTTATATTTTTTTTTATTATTTTTCTCAAACATGGTAATAATAAAAAAAAAAAAGACTTTGTAAACCTGGGAAGTTTAGAACATTAGCCTATATAATATGCAATATCTTTTTTTGTAAGTATATTGGTTTTACCATTAGTTCTACAGTAATAATTTGAAAACTTTTATTGCTTGGGGATAATTGAAATTGTATACTCTCTAATTTTATGTAATATACAACATCCAAACAACTGTACAGAGGAATAATTGTTTTCTCAACAGCATATAAAAAAATATTAGTAATCTCAAAAGTAACTGTGTTCAATATACACACATATATAATCTAAGAAAAAAAATTATCTTCCCCTAATCAAAAAAAAAAAAAAAAAAAA